ATTCGACTGCAATACCCAGACCTCTACCTATCAAAGAAATTAGTGCAAACAGTGTCGGTGTTCCATTACACTGAGGCCTGGAGCGGACCTCGCCAACTGCATACGCGTGGATATTTCAGAATCAGTTACCTAAGATGATTAATTGGATTATACCATTTGCAGGCCAGCGGCGAAATAGGCCGTCTCAATAACGTATTTTAAACATTAGGACTGATTATCAACTTCACTGCCGCCGTCAAATTGTCAACACACAAGCGGTTCTTTATTGGGTACATTCATCCTAGGTGACCTGCTCTTGCGTTTCGTCAGTCGCTTGAGGAAAATTTAGCTAAGGACCTAGCTGCTCTTGGGGCGTAACTGATCCTCCGCAGTTCCTTCGTAATGGTATAAGGCGTGCACATACTGCTCGCCCCAAGTTGTCACTAACGTCTATACATAGGACATTTCCCAGTTAATGATCACTGATCCGGCCCAAAGCATTTAGTGATCTGCATAGGCTGAAATAACGAGATCGGCGCAGCAACTATCCACGACCGCGAATGAGTATTCAGACAATATTTGGATTTAATTTGAAATGCAGCATGCTTCAGTAGATGAAGAATGTTAGTGGGGAGCATCATTTAAATGTTCAAAATGGAGCTGCTCTCTCGATGGGTGTATTATGCTGAGTGTGGGGTACTCCCAGGGGAGTTGGGACCTGCCTCTGACCTTCGGAGCATTTTACCTCCGGGTTCTAAAGTAGTTCGCCGCTTTGCTTAATGTGGTAGGGAATAATGAGCTTGTATTCTGTTTACTTATCTGGTGATTCCTTCTTGGATGGTAGGTTTAATCGTTCAGCCGATACATTGCTTTCAGGTGCCAGGTCTTACATAAAACCATTGGTCTGTGACAAGACTAAATTAAACTGGAGAGTTCCCGCTAGCTAACCTATCAAACTTGTTCGTTCTCTCTAGCACATATCTGCATCATGATGCGCTTTATTTCTCACTAAACTATTCATCTGTCGCATATCCACCAGAATAATCACGTATCATGCTGCGCCATCAAACCACCAACGCGGCTTTGTCTATGACCAAGTCACAACGTGAAACTAAGTCATGATTTGGGGGTAAACCGATCACTGACTGGTTCAGACAGGGCGACCAGAAAGGGATAGAGCAAGCGTCAGTAAGGCGAAACGTCTGTTGGTGAGCGTGTTTTTGATCCACATTCTGTAATTAGGCCCTTGGGGAAACGCATCCCCAGTCAGAACGCAGAAGTCAAAGCATGCTTGAAGGGGATTGTGGTGCAGTTGACGGGTCTCTAGAATCAAAATGCAACTATTCAGTGAATCCCATGGGGCATCGAGAGCTCCCTGCGCTAAAACTAGCATTTCTTCCATCCCGATTGATTTTTGGTCTAGTAGAATCATTTGTGCTCACTGACCGCGCACACAAGTAATGACTTAAAGTTGTCGCAATCCAAACAGTTTTGGCAGTGAATTTTAAACTGCTAGAACACATAGATGCAGTTGCATTTTTATCTGTTCTAAAATTGGTTCATCTAGCGGCCGAAGTGCACATGAAAGAAGAATAATGTCGAATTTACTACATCGTTTACGCAACAAATGGGTCCCTCTTGCTAGAGGTTGTTAGAAGGTGCGCAGTTCACTGAGGTAGAAGTAGTACACCGAGTTCAAATGCAAATGCAGGAAAAAAACCGCTAATTAGACATGACTAGGCTGGGCTACCTTGTCCTCCATATTTGAGCGTGGACTAAGCGCTAAACGGTCGAATCATGATGTGCACAGATAAAAGGTAAACGGGTTCTGGATCATAATTCTGAAATAACCACGGAAACACATCCGGATTACTTATCATAAGAATTTCCAGGCAATGCTGGAGTCATTCATCCATTCGTCACATGAGCCTGGAGAATTTTCTTTTTTCACTTAATAACATAGAACATGGTATTATGTCCGCATGGAAATCCCATTCGGATGGCATAAATAGAGCGAATTTTAGTCTCCTGATGTTCAGCCCACCATGGTAGAATAGAGCGCAATCCTATACTACTAGAGTATAGTTGAAGATAAATACACTTGTAGTTCCAAACAGAAAAGCAGAAGATGTAAACTGTGAAATGACTCAATGAATCACAATTCATCTAGAAATGATAAATATACAAAACACTATCATTGAGCTGAATGGTTAACCAATTGTTGGCCAATCGTCAAGCCTCACACCACCACAGTAGGTTATGATTCACAGTCACAGAGCAATCGGGTTGCCTCGGCAATCGTAAGACACTTGCTGAGCATCGGCCACTGAGTTAACCCCGATGAGTGTTATTCAACGTCGTTATGCGCAATCAGTGGCACTACATTCTCAAGCTGTTGGAGCGGCCGCTGTTTTGTGTACATGAACAGTTGACTGTGAATGTTAACCTACCGAGGTAGTGTGAAGCGTGACGATTGGCCAACGATTGGCTGACTTTTGCTCTCATGTGATGGTGTTTCATATATTTATGATTTCTGCATGATTTGTGGTTGAGAAGCTTGCACGAAATGACTGAGGCGTCTCACAGTTTGCGTCTTTTGAATTTCCTGTTTGGAATTATAAAGGGAAATTCCTGTTGCAAATTTTTGCAGTTAGCGAAATAACACCAAATTGATGGGACCACAAGCATAATTCGAAGATGAAGGAAATAAGCAGCAAAAATCTGAAAGAGAAAGGAAGTTGGTTGCACCTTTGTCATGCGTGAGTTCTGGGATGCAACACGCAGTGTCGGTTAGACGGACAACATTAACAGCCATTTAGGGAGCTTGAGGAAAAGATAGGCGGTAGCACGAGCAGTGGCGTCCGACGCAGTTGCAGTAGATCTAGTGATAGCATCAGGGATCAGGCTCCTTCAAACAATCATCGCATTTGAAAGCGTCAATGATAAATCAATAAATGCGGGGCTAAAGTAACACTTTGTGCCTAGTGTTGCTCCACGCACAACAGTATGAAAGCTGCCTATAGTTATTTAATGCAAATACCAGATATCCGGGGGACTTAACTTACCGTGTGACCGAGGAATGTGTCCAGATACTGTTCGTTGTAGGAGCAAGAGCATTTGTGGATTGGCCCGTCCTCCGTCCCAACTACGTAACTGCAAAGCAAGTAAGCATAAGTATCCAGGTAATCGATTGCCTCCATTGTAGGTCATCTGAGACTAATTTTTGGGCCACTAGATAAACTGGGACAGTTGTAGCTAAGAAAACTAAGCATTCCCGACTGCCAATGCAAGTTGAACGGTAGGATGCGTTGACTACAGTTAGTTAATTTCCAAATGATACACCCATGAGCATAAGTAAGGTAAAGGGCTTTACTCATCAATGTAGATCTAATATGTCATTCCAGTGCAGTGCCACGAATTAATCATACTTTAGTTTGTTTGAAAGAGGAACTGTCTTAGTGTCGAAAGCATCCGTCTGCCTTTTTTCTTGCACATTTTCCTAGCTTTTCCCTCAACGTACACACCACCAAACACGGCTCTTCTATCAGCTCATGAATCCCGCTTCAGCTAGATGAGCGCTAGTGCAAAGTGTAGTACGGAAAAAATGTCCCAGCTTTTTATTCCAAGTTGCATTCGGGTACTGTACCATGTGTCTAGCTGACACGTACAGATAGTAACAGAGACGGTGTGGCGCCATCTCCTCTAGGTACGGGAAGTTTTTCATTCGAAATCTTGAAACAGAATTGATGACGTCTAGATACTCATGATCAAGGAGTGCTAAAAATCTGTGTTCACTCATGAGATGACGTTCTGATTGAACACAAAGGGACAATTAACAAATACAGCCTAAAGAAATGAAGGTATCGGACGCAAAAAGAGGTACCGATATTCCTTTCACCAAAACAAATGAAAGCTAAGCAAGTGTGATAGTGGTTAGTTGATTGCTTCGAATACGTCGAGCGGATCTGAAGGCAGGACTCCGCGAGGAAATCGATGTTGGAAATTTAACAGAAGTAATGTGTGGGAACGAAAAAGTAGGTATCCACGTAAGAGCAGTGTGAGTGGAATTAAAACAATGTAGCTGATTGGAAATCGATCAAAAACTACAGATTCCGTGGGGAGTATCGGCTGAAAAATTTGCGAAGTGTTTTGGGATCCCATGTGACTGGTGGTTAACGGCATTATATCCTTGATACACGAACCTCTAAGCTACTTAACCAACCTTTTGCAGTTTAAGGTGGAGCGCATACACACTTTACCCGAAGAGCTTATCCCAGTGTTTTTACCCTTAATCCTATTAACGTGATGACCCAGTTCAGTTAAAGCTTTGTTCGCCAGCATGTTTGAATGAAAGGGACCAATTCAGTGGGGGCAATAGCCTAATGAAAGGAAGGAGGCTCCATTTTTCTGGGGTTACTAGAGGTACGAAATCCCGCCATGAAACATCGACGGCTTCGGGGCGACTTGATCCTCGTAGCCGCAATCCTAGCCGATCCTGGACACTCCTGCCGCCACGTACTGAAACCGCACCACTCATGCTTCCATGTTCGTAGTCACCCACTCCGGCTCACACATCAGCATAGCCGGCTGAACTGCAGGCAACATTTCTTCGCTCTGCGACTCTGCCGACCGTGGAACGTCCTGCCTGCCGACGTAATCTCGGCATCTTCTGTGGATGATTTCAAGACTCGCCTGGACCGTCATCTTACCGACCTGCATCGTGACCACCCCTGAGACAACTAACTGCAGTTTGGAATACCATACACCAGACTAGCCCCAGTCATCTCCCTGCCGCTTCTCATCGGGCGCAACAGCTTGTTCATCTACCCCTAACGCTCCCGATTAACACGTTGATGGAGACGTTTTGCTTTATGCTACTCTTCTTCTTTCCCTAGCTGTAGCAGAGGGCGTGGCGGGGTGTCACGCTTCGAGCCGGCATACATTCTGTTCAAATTCCACATACGCCCGATGATGATATGGCTAACACGCGAATCCAACCTGCCATAAGTTTACTTGCCCTTTCCATACATCCCGACTCTATTTCTTCACCCCTTATAAGTTCTGTAAAGCTCCAGCTTTTTTCCCATGAAATACACTCTTCCAACGTACTTCATGTTCTGTCAGAAATCAACGACTTAGAAACTAGTTCCGATCATAGGAACTCTAATCTCTCTCTAATTGGCGAATATATGCATGCATTTGTGAAAAAGTGTCGGTACATAGTGTTGCCGACAGATAGCTACGCTTGTTATGGTTTAGGTTATGCGACCAATGCAACAGTGTCAAGAGCTTAACCACTAGGGTACATTTCGGAATATGATAAGTAAAAACCTCAACTGGAGTGTTATGAACGATTATAATTCCGTCAGATGAAGAAGATTCCTTTGCCGATTTCGTTTAGATGGGAAAACTTCCGTCTGCACCACCACCAAGGCCTCGTGTGCTTGTGCTACACACTCAGATGCCTAGATTGTTCTCTGTCTTGAGGTTTCTCTCGGATGACATCTTGTAATGCATCTGCAGCAGCTGTGATTCCTTAGCTAAAACACAGATTCCGGTTACAGAAAACATGGACGCAAGAACACCTTTAAATGTACGGTAAAAGCTTATCTGTTGTTCTGGCTATACAACGAAACCGACGGTGGTCGATAGCCAAGAAAGTGGTAAGACGAAGCGGGCGATGCGTTCACCGCGATGAAGACCAGCCGAGGTGCCGAGCATAAGGTTGTGATTGACTCAAACAAACCTATTCACCGTGCAGTTCAACATTCAGCACAGGCCGCCTAAGTGTACTGTGAAACAGCAATTAGAAAAATTCGCACAACGAATTCAGGCAAACCGAGAAAGTCGCCAGATGGCTACAATACAATTGTCGCTGTTTCCGAGGCCATCACCCCACACCAATCTAAAATATTTCCACAGGTAGTCAAATTTCCACTCGAGCACACACATGTTCTGAGGATGGTGGACAGCTGCTAACATTTGCATTAATCGGCATTTCCGGCTTTGCTGCTGCCTTGCGATCGAGTAGTAGCACAAGTTAAAATTACGGACATTAGATAACCGATTATATATTCGGTGCCAGGCTAGGCAACATCATCAGTGCGGCTTCAAAGGCCTGGTAGGCAACGTTTTATAAACCACTTCCAGATTCGAACGATTCTTGACAGCTTTATGCTTTGAATGGCCAGTTGCCCTTCCAAGGATTTTGGTGTGCTCTAGGTCGTTGTTGTTTATGCTATTCATATGCATGGGCTGCGCTTGATGTGCATGTTGACAAGGTGCCTACCTGTCTAGTACCCACTACCTCGTCCACACTGGCTCTAGGACACAGTTGGTCGTGGCTGGAGGGGACCGTGTGCACGGTCCTTGTGGTCATGCTAGGCTCGAAGAGTGGTTCCATGCACTCAGTGTGGAGCGGACTACGGTTCAGCCACCGTTTTGTGTGCACTTGATTCCCCAAATACAGCGTGCTTGCGTTTATCTGTGAAGGAGTGTGGGCCGACTCCCATTCACATGCCTCCCGGTCTTATTCCTTCGGGTTTACACTGGATATGGAGTGTGTGGTTGGAGCTGTAGGTGTTACAGCGCAAGGCACCCATGGTCCCTCTGCAGGCGCAGGCGTCCTGTGGCTGGTCACGGTGACAGGCAAATCTGAAACCGGATGCCTCCAACCATGTATAGGTATCAAACAAGTTTTACTGATGATGGCGAATGACAAGACAGTGTTTACAGCTTAGCCACCAATTCCACATAAACCAGAACAAAATCCCGTGATCAGTAAGCACTTTGTTTACGAGATTTTGCAAGCAGGCAGTGGAAGCCACACGGATGATGCTGCTCAGTCTGGCAACCAAATGCATGCAAACTTATCGTTTAGCTCAAAGAACAACGAAACCGGATATTCTCAGCTGGATCAAGCTAATTTATACAATTTACAGAACCATTGCGTTAACACCGAAACAAGAACTTATCAGAAATATGGATTTTTTGATTTAGTAGCTTATGTTCAGTGGTTCGCCAAACGGTTAAATACAGTAAGCAGTGACCAACTCGAAGACAAGATTAGATTTCCACAAGGAAATCACATTTTGTAACCTAGCGTTTACAAGTGAAGTAGACAAAATGTACGGAGTGTAGTGGGCATCATTACAGGCCATTGTATAGTGGAGCAGAAAATGAAAAGGACTTCTTTGGAGTTTGAGTAAATGTTCAGTAGAGTTTGCCAAATTTGAGCGTCTGTACAGTTGCGTACGTTTCCCCATTAAGCCGAAGCAGGAGAAAGCACATGGGCCCGCTCAGCATTAGCTAGTCTCTTGAACAAGATGAAACGAAGTATCTGCACTCTAAACTTGTCGGCAACAGAAGGAAGAAAAGTAGGCTTCAGCTTCGCCCTCTCAATCAGCCGCTTTGTCTTTCGTTGTTCCCCTAAGTTGATACCTCCAACGTCTCATTCGCGTTTACTTTCGAAACGTAGACAGATACATCATTCAGGTTAGACAAACGGAGTGAAAGAAAGCAAAATCCTTCACTCCGATGTCGTGGACAATCGAATGGACTGGGCGGTAAAGGCAAACGACTGGGCAACACGTGTTGGCAGCTGTCGTCTAGTAACAATGTCCATTCATCGGACGCTTCCAAACAGCTGACGCAAATGTCACCGTCCGGTCACATATTCGTGCAGCTTAATATACTACCTCATGAAATCACCCGGCAGTATATCCAAATAGTTTAACTGCTGACTAATGTTCCTGCGAACATCAAGGTGCTGTGGATTCAAGAATCCTATAATCTGCATCCACCCATCTTTGCGATGGGTTTTGTACGATTTGCTCGAAGTAACAACCTGAACCGCGTCATGATGATGGAATACCATGAGTGAAAAACAAACCAAATTTCGGCTAGCGAATAGTTGTTAAAATGATAGAGTGAAACCCAGTACGCAACACTGTCTGCTGTTACTTTACGACCGATATCAGTGGCGCTGTATTCGCTATGACACAACTGTGCTGACGCCACACCGTGTAGTTAAAACGGACCTCTAAGGCGTAGTCCGTGGAAAGTAAGTGGTATACAAGAATCCGTTATGTAACTGAATTGTGCTGGATAGTGGAGGCGGATAGAATCTAGCTGATTTACAGGATTCACTGTCTTCTTACCCTAACGGAGGCGCATTTATTGCACCTGTTTGACATAGGGAGGACAATTTGAGTCACAGAGGAGAAAAGTTGCATTTGAAAAATGACTCACGATTTGACATTCCGTGTAAAGTCAGTTGTATGTGACTCACATGCTTGGTTCCCGTTTGTTAAATGCCATGCACGAGCCAAACGCCGTCCGCGAGATGAGTGATTCGGTACGCTTCGATTTATTTACCGAGCCCGGCATAGTGACATATGATCGTTTCAGCACCATGAGATCTGACCCAAGCACAATGAGAATAACAGACAGTATAGAGGGTTAGAACTTTTTAATGCGCACAGCCCACCCCATAGCACTGAGATAATCAGGCTGTGTGCGGGTAGATGGGACGCTCACATAAGCGAATCAGCGGCAAAAAGTGACTTTGGCTTGGAGTAGCTTCCGCCGTTAGCCAGCGGATGTTCCTTTAGTTGAACCTGGAACAGTTCAAGTCTAACGTATTGGATACATGAAGTAAGCAGGCAGAATTGATGATATTGTTTCGATGCGCCCCGCGAAGCAC